ACCCCCACTGATAGCCATAAACTTGTCGTACTAATCATTGTTATTTACTATATTTCATCATACTCTGCTACTACTTCTGAGTACATCCAGATGGGTCGGTTGTTGGGCTCCAACTACCTAGATAGTGGAGCGCATTCTTTCCTTGGGATCCTTCAATGAGATGTAGAGCGCGCCCTTGAAACTCCTCTTTCTCATATCTGGCTCCGATTCTTTTCCGTCTTTAACCCAACTTCTTTGCCATTCCCCTGTACTTCCTAGGCGTGTTACCTCGCTAAAACCTATCGCAAACGACCTCGTTCTATCTCTAACCCGGATTATTTAGCTTACGGTGACTAGTTCAGGATGTGAACGCGAACAGGGCTCTTTCCACGCCAACGCGCCTTTCTCATAACCCGATTCGACACACGCGTTCCGATCTTCTCGGTAGGTATTCAGAGCGATCATACAATGCAATTTGATTGTCATAATGATCCGTCTTTCCTTACGTCATGTCATGGAGAGAAAAGGCCTCGTTCAATCGTGCGCGTTTTGGGATACAGGTGTACCAACCAGCGTAGCGTCGACGCGACGAGAGTCGGTCGGTCAGGAGGCATATATGATTTGCCGAGATCACGTCCTCTTTCAGCTTGTTATAAAGCCTCAGAATCGACCCAGGAAAACTTTCACCTCCCCCATCCAGACCCAGACTACAGATATGGCTTCTTCTGACCGCTACTCACTAGATTGCTGGTCAACAATCTTTTCACGCTCCTTATCTCCAACTTCATTCGCGTCCTTAAACAATGGTCTTCGTTTCCAAAGCGGTGGTCATCGTTTGGGTAGAACAGGCGCACCCCAAAGGAGCTCTTTGGATATCCAGATGTTCCTTTCCCCAAGGGCAAGTAGAGAATATGCCTCGGGATCAAATTTAGTGGATGCGATACCAAGTGGAACGGCATCGCCATCGGACACAACGTCAAACCAGTTATGGGGACGGGCGACAAACATGTTAGAGGATCTCGTCAAGGCGACCAGGTCAAAGCTACCTCGCAACTCCTCTGGTGTGTTACAATTACATGACATCGAGCTGCTGAGGTTGTTGACCTTACTATCCTATAGGCCAGGTGCAAATCCATCACAGCCAGGCGTCAAACATGGGATTGAAGACTCATCTGGAGCATTTACACTCGTCTTTTTCTCTCCTCGATGGAATTTTGGATAATCCTAGCTCAGCACTTTATACAAATAGCGACAGTAGAAGCCCTACAGGTGTATCTATCCAACGCATGGAGGATTCTCAAGCTACGAGACACACGGAAGCAAAACGTCCTTCAGTAATAGCCCAGAACCCATGGCCTTCTCAAGATGCTTTGTATATGGCCATTGGTACTGGCGAGCATACAATGAACAAGCTGTGGACCGGCCTTCGAAACGTCGTCCCCGTAGCATTAAGCGTTCCTATACACACTGCGGGACCCGCTTCCAACGAAAAGGAGATTTTTGCCACCGAAAACTCATCTATACCCCTCGATACATCCAGGGTTCCCTCCTCTTCTCTCTAGACAAGCCATCTGGCACTGATTCATCGACATCCACGGCATTTCGAACCCAATCCATCGGAGCGTGGGGCGGTTATTCAAGTGCTAAAGAAAAGGCCCTTACTTAACCCGGCGATTGGGCGTAATCTTTCGGGCACACCTCATTGCATTCATAGTCGCAAGCAACGACTACCCATTGATACCCTGTGTTCAATTTTGGTTGTTATATTGTTTATCTTATTTTGTTCATATTTTGCTGCTACTTCCCTAGCTGGGAACACAGTCAGGCTCGTCATTAACTATACCGCTCGCACAATGGTGTTGCTAAGGAAGGAACTTTAAATGAGCGCTTATGTATTCGTCGGACGAAAGCTGAATTTCTCGATCACTGACGCATCTCATCGATCAACCAGCCGTTGATTTAGCTTGGACACGAGGCGGTCAGCGTCTGACTCGCCACTGGCACATAACACCGCTCTGTTGTCACAAACCTCAACACTCACTTTTTGGACCCTCCCATCTCCATCTAGCATGGATTCTGAACGCACTGGTTCACAAACCGAGTCGCGTTCGTACCGCGCCTTAGCGGATAGGTTCTCCATGCCCCGGAGACGAGTAGTCTCCGCCTCGGCTGGGACGTCTTCAGCTAGTAGTACGCCACGCTGTACACTAGCAGAGTGGCAACCACAGTCAACTTTGGACCTACGTGGCTCACGGCGTTCTTCGCAACTCAATGTGGAATCGGTGTTAGGCAAGCTCCTGACATCTCGCCCATCGAGTCCATTGAGTCCACTTAGTGTATCCGCTGAGACTAAACCGGCACCATCCGTTGAACCAGTTCGTAAGAAACCGAAACCACGCTTATCCAAGGACCTCCCACCGCCTCCTGCTCCCGAGACACCAGAGGAGACGGATTTAGGTCGAAGACCGTCAGTGAAAGGGTTCTTCTCCAATATATCATCTCGCATAACTCATAAAAAACCCGAATCTCGTCGGCGTGAGTGCTAACTAGATGAGTCTGGCCTATCCATTGACACGCCTTCTTGAACAGCATCCGCTACAACCATTGATAGTGATCGCACAGCCGTACAAGAAGATCCTTCATCGGTTTCGGGCCAACGCGTTTTGAGTGTTATCTACGATCCAGACACACGCCGCTTCACGGGCTCGGACAATTGGCCAATGTTCTTTCCTTGGGAAAACAGTGATCCTTTTGCCGGTCTAGAGGTTAAGGACGAGGATCCAAAGGGCACAGTTCAATCCTTGACTCGCTTTTTGAAGAAGCAGGCTGTCCAAACATTAGAGGGCTTGAAGCATACGGTCAAGTCAAAGATCCCGGCGACCTTTAATGGTGAGGGAGAATTACATATTCATAAATTCATGTTGGCTGATACAAATTACGTTTCTAGTCCAGATACGGATAGCCAAGCCGCGATCATCGAGCGAAGGAACACAGGAAAATGACTCTCCTATTGTCATCCACATGCCTTGGATCGACATACCTCAATCGGTTGATGGGAAAATGGAGGGAGGAGTCATTTATGATGACCCAGATGTTCACAGATCTCCAAACAATGACAGGCATTACCCTATAATGGGTGGCGGCGCCGATCCAACCACACCGGCATTACCATTTCCAACCCACGCGCACCGTAGGGATATTTCGGAGACCACGGTGGTCTCTGCTGATCGTCAACCTCGTCACCGCACTCGCTCATCTACCGAACGAGTAGCCCATACACTCTGGAAGGGCCTCCAGAACGTCGTGACATCACCAAAACTCGCTCAAAATGCTCCTGAAAATGCGACTCCGTTTTCTCTGCTGAAGCGGACACCGGCCGACATGCATTTCCACCCACCCATTTCGCTACCAATGGGTGGCGGATCCCCGGAGGACAAACCCAGGGGTCAACAACAGCCAAAGCCGTCATTAAGATCTAGGCTCGAGTCTATCACCCGGCTCACTCAAGTGGAGATCCAGGCACAGCGTCGAGAACGAGTGTACAGCAACGGCTCAAAGCCACCAGCATCCGGTCAGCCCTCGCGAACTGTGGGCTCACCACCCGCCTTTACATACCGCCCATCTAAAGATACTCAAAACAAAAGCCCCATGCCTCGTTCACCATATTATATCTAAATCGCTTCAACAAGCGGTGGAACTATATGGAAACTACTCGCACTAATTATCATCTCCGAGGATTATGTGACGTCTCTTGCGTGTAGTTGTAGTATATCTTGAATAAAAATTCGGTTGTATTATGGGATAAGAGGCGTACTCGGACTAGGAATGGTAGCGTTGCTAAGGCCTCGGCCCATCTTTGGGCGGACCGTTGAGTGGGAAAGAAGGCGCGCGAGGGGCGACAACTCTACTATTGTTGCCTTGTCGTCCAGTGATGGCGAAAACTGAAAGCCCTTGTGTTTTCATGATATAATTCCCATTCTTTGCCCCTGAACTCTGTTCCAATCTTTCGTTCAGCTCCATCTCCGTCTCGTAGACTGGACTAATGATGAAACTACGGCAGCTTTTCCGCTCCAAATGGGCTTCCCTTATCTCTCGTGAGTCTCCTATGTTGCGTACTTTGGGTTCCCTTTGACGAAGGATCCCAGGCCTCGCCAAGAAAAGGGAGAAGAAACGCGTGATCACGATACCAAAGTCCGTCAAGAAAGTATACTCTGCTTTCTATGACCAACGAAAGAACGTACTGGAGGGCCTACCAGAAGGGTGGGGCACGTGGAGACGACCTATCGTCGTCGTCGAAAGCTTCAGCCCTGTAAGCCCTAGCTATGTGAGGAGAATGGCGGAGCCGTTATCCGCAATAACAGAAGACATCTCGATTGGAACTCTGAGCATATACTCACTCTATGCCGGTTCTCCCTCGTCGGAAAAGTCCCCTTTGTTGTCCGCCCTCGTCCAAGCGAGTGCGGTGGGAGAGGCTCTGGAGTATTATACCGATCACAAACAGGATCTTTCTGGTGTACCATCCGCAAAGAAGTCACTATCAGCATCGACTGATACCGGTAGCTTCCTCACCGCTCAGATGGGGGAGTCGAGCGAATCGGAAGAGGACCTCGAAGAAACCGAGGATTGCCAATTCCTGACCGTGTCTCCGTTATGGAGACAGAGTCTCTATATCACAACGCGCATCAAGCTGATGCCAACGGACCTCTTGCCTCGTCGTTCGAGTCGTATCCTCTCACAGGATATGACGCATAGCAATGTATTTTAGCTCGTTTCGTGGCTCTTTCACATGTACTCTCTAGTTGTTTTTCGGCTCAAAAGTGTATTGTATACACGTTCCACAATACGGGGGTGTGATTGAGTTTGGGATTTGAGACATGGGCGATGTCCGCTGTAGTCCTTATTATGAAGTGTATGATTTGAAGAACGACTGAATAACGAATAATCCGGTTAGTTTTACGCTGAAATAGTCGAATGCGTTTGTAAACTGATTATATAAAATAATATCCCAAGTCCTCTCAGAATCCGAATTGGTCCAATGGTTAGGATACTCCGCTTTCACATCTTGAGAGCACCGGAGCGGCCGGGGTTCGATTCCCCGATTCGGAGACTTTTTTGTCAACATTTTATATTACGATTTATCAGTTCAGATTTTGATTACGGATGATTTTGCGCGAGGGTGCATTGTGGCCACAGGTATCCTTGGACCTGACCACTTTGACCCCCACCACCCCTTTTAACCAACAACTCTCAGTTTTTTCATCTTTTTCCGATGGCTGATAACGAACTTCTCGCCGATTACGAAGATGAGCCCGAGTACCCAACGGCGGCAGGCGCTGGAGCCACCATTGCAGCTGGGGGCGAGGAAACTGAGAAAAAGAGTTATGCTGGTATTCACTCGTCTGGTTTCAGGTATGTAACGCGTTCTTTGGTTCGTGAATGGCCAACGCTGGGCCTTGCATCGTTTTTCTCATTACTCATGTTGACACCTGCTGACACGCACCTTTTACGCCCTTTAGGGATTTCCTTCTCAAGCAGGAACTGCTGAGAGCCATTTCTGATCTCGGTTTCGAACATCCATCCGAGGGTGAGTAAGATCGTGTGGTGGCGGTCAAAAAAGTCTGATTTTGCCCCACAGTTCAGCAAGAATGTATCCCTCAAGCTATTCTTGGAATGGACGTGCTTTGTCAGGCAAAGTCTGGTCACGGAAAGACTGCCGTCTTCGTCCTCGCCACACTCCAGCAGCTCGATCCAACGGAGAACAAAGTATCCGTCATCGTGTTGTGCCACACACGCGAGTTGGCGTTCCAAATCAAAAACGAGTACAGTCGGTTCGCGCGATACATGCCTACCGTCCGTACTGCCGTCTTTTACGGTGGAACACCCGTCCAAAAGGATCAGGAGCTGCTCAAGAGTGCCGAGGTCCCTCATATCATCGTCGCCACCCCCGGACGCTTGAACGCACTCGCCAGGGACAAGAGCCTAAACGCCAGCGGAGTCAAACATTTCGTGTTGGATGAATGCGATAAAATGCTCGAACAGCTTGGTTAGTCACACATTCGACGGCTCTTCCCCGTTTTCTTTCATCTTCTCCACGTTTTGCGCCCTATCGCGCCCTCTATCGCTTGCGGTCCGCCAATCTCCCGTCAGTTGGGCTGGTCGACTTTTTGTTTTCCAATGGTGTCCAACTCGGTGTCCGACTTCCAACAGCGGAGTCTTGTCGTTTAGGAGTATACCAGGATGGCTCATGGGGTCGTTAATTCGTCGTCATTTTAGTCACCTTATCCCCACTTCTCCATCCCCTATCCCGCTCCCTTTGACGCTCGGCACCTTTTTCCCTATCGACCGTTGGACTTACCTTCTACCATTCTGACAGACATGCGCCGCGACGTACAAGAAATCTTCCGTGTCACTCCCCACAACAAGCAAGTCATGATGTTCAGCGCTACGCTTGCAAAGGAGATTCGCGTCACGTGCAAAAAGTTCATGAGCAACGTGAGTCGCCGTTTTCTTCAGATGAGAAAAGGAGCTCAGGCTGACTCCGTCGTAGCCTCTCGAAATCTTCATCGACGACGAGTCGAAGCTCACCCTCCACGGTCTTCAACAACACTTTATCCGACTAGAGGAGGCCCAAAAGAACCGGAAGCTAAACGACCTCCTCGACACCCTCGACTTTAACCAGGTCGTCATCTTTGTCAAGAGCGTCGCTCGTGCCATTGAACTGGATAAGCTCTTGAGGGAATGCAGCTTCCCATGCATCACCGTCCATTCCGGTCTCTCCCAAGAAGAACGGTAAGCGTCTTTCGAACATGTCTATCGCTATCCGTTACTCATTCGCTTCTAGTATTTCGAGGTATAAAGAGTTTAAGAACTTTGAGAAGCGGATCCTGGTGGCTACGGACATCTTTGGACGTGGTATCGACGTCGAACGCGTGAACATTGTCGTCAACTATGACACGCCTGCCGACGCAGACTCGTATCTCCATCGTGTCGGGTGAGTACCAGACAAGAGAGTGCTCGCGGTTACTAACCACTCCCTTTATAGACGTGCTGGTCGTTTCGGTACCAAGGGTCTCGCTCTCACCTTTGTATCGTCCCAGGCCGATTTGGATGTGCTGGAGAGGATCCAAGCGAGGTTTGAAGTCGCCATCACGGAGATGCCAGCCGAGTTGGACAAGACTACGTACAGTGAGTGCGAACCTTTGATGCTTTAGTAACCTGGTTAACGATTCGCCACAGTGACTGGATCCGCGTAACACAGTTCAGAAGGGGTGGCCTCGCCTCATCGTGTTGGAATTTGTATAAAAAAAGTTCACTTTTTGCTGTCTACCTGTTCGATATGAGACTAAGGGAGCGTCGTATTAGTCACGACCGCGTGCGCTCTGGGTTCGTTTACAAGATCATAAAGGCGGGTGAACATGGTCATATTATCATTGAGCATGCCATAAAGAGGAGCGCCTTCTACTCTGACTTGTACATCTCGTCCTCTGCCAAGAAACAACCACTGCCAGCTCGCCAAACCCGCTACTCTCCCAACTTTTACCGGTAAATAGCGTACGGCGCAAAGGATGATACTCCCAGCAAGCTTAGATGTTGAGTTTGGTGCGTCTCCAATGTCTCCTCTTTGCGTTGTATTGGATTTTGGAGTCGGTTTTTAGTCGGAACCATTGAGGAACGGGTCTTTAGGAGTGTGCGTAGTAATCACAGTGCATAGATATCCATAATAAGTCGTAGAATCGAGGTCATATTGACGGTTATATGTGGATAGTCAGCGGCCAGCCATTACAACCCAATATTCGAAACACAAACCTGTTTTGTTTCCCCTTCTTTGCAAGAATACGCTTTGTGCGAAACGTTTTTTGAGACGGCTGCGTGGCGAAAAGAGTGGCATGGTCAGGATGAGTCGTAAATATTCCAAAAAATACATAAACAGGTTTCAATGTCAGCTAAAGATATAAAATAGAATGATTTTGAATAAACTGACCATTGTTATCAGAGGCCGAGAGGGGGGTCCAAGTTAAGGTTCAGATGTAGTTGGAATCGAACAAAGCAAAGGGATTTGTTCGACCCAACAAGGCAATCGCCGACCTCGATCATCGATAAACAGTCAGTAATCGATAAACGCTGAGAAACGTGAGCAGCGAATTGACGACCAGTATAACGGGGAACAGGTAGAAATCAATAGCCAGCCAATCCAAAATGCCACGTATCGTCAAGTATGCGCTGTTGGCGACAGTCGTAGGAATGGTCGCATTGATGAATGCTCCTCTCGCAGTCGTAGCTCATCACGATAATGAAGCTGAACACGCCGTGGCTCCCAGTCAGGGGGTTCTCAAAGACGGCAAGTTGTCACTCTCCCCCCTCAATCAATTAAGATGGGACAGTTGTGTTCTGATTGCTTCTCGCCTTGTTTGGGCTTTTGGGTATAAATAGGGGCCAGTGGCGTAACTCCAGTCGATTTACCCCCGACACCTACTGCAAAGGCGCCTCCAGCAAAGTCGAACACCATGTCCAATCAAGCCCCAGAAGACCTCAAAATCGAAGTTGTCTCTCTCCCAAGTAACGCGGCGTCTCTTCCAAAGGCGGCTACTGGCCAACAAATATCGGTCCACTATGTACGTAGAATCCATACTTGTCTGACTCGCAGTATGCTGACCGTGACGATCCTATTCTATCAACCCCCACCCACCTCGTTCAACGCCACATCCGGCGACGACCCTGTTCCATCGGACGTGCATCCTTCTACTTGGTACATGTCCCTACATTTATCCTCCTTTATTGGTTCCATCTCGTCCACGATCCCTTCTTCATCGCTCTCTCACCTTTCTGCGTCATTTGGGCCACAATCACGCTACCATCAACAAACTCGATTGGCTTTTGTCACCGCCATCAACCATCATTGGATCGTCAAAAAACCTATGCAACCCCTTCGAATCCCATGTGCTCCGTGGGAATCGTCCTCCCCATTGTTCTCCTATCGACCAATACATCTTCCACGACCAATCGATCTCCCTAATCGCTCGCTTCGCCTTCCCAAACAACGTCACTCCCCGTCGACTGACGTCTGTTCCCCGATCCCTAATTCCCCTATCTATCGACAATCGACGCGGACAACCGGGGGGTTCTCTCAGACCGGCACCCTGTTCGCCACAGGCGCGCAGTTTGATTCATCTCACGTGGGCAAAGCCAATCCCAAGCCCTTCAAGCTCACGCTTGGTGTCGGTCAAGTCATCAAGGGCTGGGACGAAGGCATTCAAGGAATGGTCGTTGGTGAAAAGAGAAAGTTGACCATTCCTCCAGGAAAGGCATATGGTATGTCGATCTGTCCCTGGCTATCTATCGTTTATGAACCCACTTTTACTAGGTTCAAGAGGCTTCAGCAACTTGATCCCCCCATATTCTACCCTAGTATTCGACGTCGAGCTCCTCGGTATCGAAGGTAGCGGTCGCCAAGAACTCTAAAAAAACGAGTATCGTTTGGGTTCTTGTCTCGCTGCTACACCTACTCTGATGAGCTTGGGCGACTCGGTGGACCGCTTGAATGGGTTACGCTTGTAATTACCGGGCTGTTGACTCCTTAACAAGTTCATTCTCGCCTCTGTCCTCGTCTTTAGCGAAACGAATAAGAAACCGGCAAAACAGTGCGAGAGCGATGGGACTCGAACCCACAACCTTCCGCTCCGGAAACGGATGCCCTGCCATTGGGCCACGCTCTCCATTCAACTCGTCTTTGGCCACAGTTTGTATTTGTGTTGAGTGCGGGTCCGGGCCGGCCCGTGCCCGTGCTCTTGGTGTTGGTGATTATTTCTAGTTCTCGGTCTTCGGCGGGGGCTATAGTCAAGTGACAACGTGGTGCATTGAGAAGTGTGTAATTGTTGGCTCCCTCGCACGTGAAATCCTTAGGCACCTATATTGTTCGGTGGATGCTCGTCACGACAGGTAATCATCACATTTTGCCTATTGGCCCCAAGAGTATCATCTGAAACCTACTATGAATTCGTAGAGTGTCGAAAGTCGTGGGGAAGATTGTGCCGAAAGGCTTGGCTAGGGGGATTTTCTCCGACTTAAAAAGGGCTCGCCCTCTCTACACCCCTCTCAGACTGCACGGC